ATTAACATCATGCTAATCTCTCACATTAACATAATGCTAATTTCTCACATTAACATCATGCTAATTTCTCACATTAACATCATGCTAATCTCTCACATTAACATCATGCTAATTTCTCACATTAACATCATGCTAATCTATCACATTAACATCATGCTAATTTCTCACATTAACATCACGCTAATCTCTCACATTAACATCGTGCTAATCTCTCACTTTAACATCATGCTAATTTCTCACATCAACATCACGCTAATCTCTCACATTAACATCGTGCTAATCTCTCACATGAACATCATGCTAATTTCTCACATTAACATCATGCTAATCTCTCACATTAACATCATGCTAATTTCTCACATTAACATCACGCTAATCTCTCACATTAACATCGTGCTAATCTCTCACATTAACATCATGCTAATTTCTCACATTAACATCGTGCTAATCTCTCACATTAACATCATGCTAATTTCTCACATTAACATCACGCTAATCTCTCACATTAACATTGTGCTAATCTCTCACATTAACATCATGCTAATCTCTCACATTAACATCATGCTAATCTCTCACATTAACATCATGCTAATCTCTCACATTAACATCATGCTAATCTCTCACATGAACATAGCCACTTCCGTATCCTCGTCGAGGAGGCCGCTCTCCTCCTATTTTACAGTTACATGCTAATTTCTCACATTTAACATCACTAGCCCCATGCGTTTCTACCCTTGTGAAGTTGCGATGGGACTTTGTGGAGTGAACGTTGAGATTTATAAGGGACACGGGGTGACCAATAAGGTCTGAGTTGGTCTGTAACAAGGTAGGGCTCTGATAAGGGGTTGGCTGACAGGTATGGTAATGTATAGTGTAGTGTATAGTGTATAGTAGTGTAGTGTATAGTGTAGTGTACAGTACCCATAGACTCAACACTGCCCATAGACTCAACACTGCCCATAGACTCAACACTGCCCATAGACTCAACACTGCCCATAGACTCAACACTGCCCATAGACTCAACACTGCCCATAGACTCAACACTGCCCATAGACTCAATACTGCCCATTGACTCAACCCTACCCATAGACTCAACACTGCCTATAGACTCAACACTGCCCATAGACTCAACACTACCCATAGACTCAACACTACCCATAGACTCAACACTGCCCATAGACTCAACACTACCCATAGACTCAACACTACCCATAGACTCAACACTGCCCATAGACTCAACACTGCCCATAGACTCAACACTACCCATAGACTCAACACTGCCCATAGACTCAACACTACCCATAGACTCAACACTGCCCATTGACTCAACACTGCCCATAGACTCAACACTGCCCATAGACTCAACACTGCCCATAGACTCAACACTACCCATAGACCAACACTGCCCATAGACTCAACACTGCCCATAGACTCAACACTGCCCATTGACTCAACACTGCCCATAGACTCAACACTGCCCATAGACTCAACACTGCCCATAGACTCAACACTACCCATAGACCAACACTGCCCATAGACTCAACACTGCCCATAGACTCAACACTGCCCATAGACTCAACACTGCCCATAGACTCAACACTGCCCATAGACTCAACACTGCCCATAGACTCAACACTGCCCATAGACTCAGCACTGCACATCGACTCAGCACTGCACATAGACTCAACACTGCACATAGACTCAGCACTGCACATAGACTCAGCACTGCACATAGACTCAACACTGCACATAGACTCAGCACTGCACATAGACTAAACACTACCCATAGACTCAACACTACCCATAGACTCAACACTGCCCATAGACTCAACACTGCCCATAGACTCAACACTGCACTTAGCACGGTTATACGGTGCGATAGAAGTTCAACATATGTACAAATGACGCAATGTTCATTGTTTTGTGCTCCACAGGACTTGCTCGTTCTGGAGGAGCAGGAGGTACGAGGCCTTTGTCGAAACGTCTGACCACGTGATTCCGTGATTCCATGACTCCATGACCACGTGACCACGTGACTCTGTGACCATGTGACCACGTGACCGCGTGACTCCTTGACCGTCCATATATTGTTAACGAAATCAAATTAACCGATAAATATGAACCAAATAACAAAAATATATAGAACCGAGTAATCGGTTTTTACCCTTTTAACTGGTACAAAAACTGACGCCTTTATACAAGGCATCATGTTTGCAATAACCACAACACAAGCAGTCAAAATGCAAACAAAAATAAACAACTCTGATAATGATATGCACTGTCCTTGAAGTTGATTGGTCCACACCCGAGACAGCTTTTCTTAGAGCCTAGTCTCCATTCTTTTTGTTTGCATTTTGACTGCTTGTGTTGTGGTTATTGCAAACATTATCCCTGGTCCAACCCATGTGAGACTAGGCTCTAAGGAAAGCTTCAAGGACAGTGCACATTATCAGAGTTATGTCTTTTGTTTGTATTATGACTGCAGGTATTGCGGTCTATGCAAACATGACTCCTTGTAAAAAGGTGTCAGTTTTGTTGCCAGATAGAAGGGTAAAAAAACAATTATTATATAGAACCTGTTTAGCCTGCCATTCACAAATGAAAACTAAATTACTGGTATATATTACTTGCATGGTTTAAAAAGTTGTAATGAGGGCCTGGCAAGAAAAGAATTCTCATTGATGGCTCCAAGCGCAAATGAGTACCTGGTGCGGTGTGTAAACATCGCCACTAGGGGAGACAAAGGCGGCCGGGCGTGGTTCTGGCAACCCACCCCCTCGTGCGTCGTGCCAGCCTTCATAGGTGCTGCTACTCGCTATAACAGCACTTGCTCCGAAAGTATGTTAAGGCTACACGGGGGGTCTTTGTCTTTGTTTTTGGTAGTGATGCTGCTGCTGATAATGACGATGACCCAGTTCCTGATGATGTTGTGATGATGATGATGATGCTGGTAATGATGCTGACAATGATGACCCATTTAATGATGACGCTGCTACGATGACGATGATGATGATGCTGCTGCTGATTGTACACGTGTGCACATTTGCATGTATGCCCGTTACACGAGTGCGTCTGTGCGTGCATGTCCATGTGTGTGCGCGTGTGTGTCCGTGTGTGTGTGCGTGCGTGCGCGTGTGTGTGCGCGTGTCCGTGCGTGCGCGTGTCTGTATGTGCATGTGTGCCTGTGTCCGTGCGTGTTCCCCTCGCCCAGGGCTCGGTAAATTTCAAATTCGGCGTCCTCTACGCGAGGGAAGGGCAGCTCACCGACGACGAAATGTTCAGCAACGGTGAGCGCCGAACGGTGGCCGGGTGAACGCCACCGACGGAAATTGCCGCGGTGGCCGGGAGATGTTGACTACCTCGCCCGGTGTGCAGGAGGTCGTGGGTTCGATCCCGACCCGGTGACGTGAGAACAAATGTAACTTTTCGATTTAAAGCTTTCGTGACTGCAGGGATTCATCTTCTTGGTTCTTTCGGTGAAGTCACGTAGAAGGGAAATAATAAAATAATAAAAATAAAACATAATAAAATACAATTCTCACGACAGTCAAAGCAACCCACGATGTTCTCTATGAAGACTTGTTTTTAGAACCAGTCAAAGCAAATTTCGATTTAAAGCTTTCGTGACTGCAGGGATTCATCTTCTTGGTTCTTTCGGTAAAGTCATCACGTAGAAGGGAAATAATAAAATAATAATAATTTAACATAATAAAATAGCCGTCCTCAGGACGGCTGCTTGCATTGTGGCCGAAACGTCGTGAGAATTGTATTTTATTATGTTTTATTTATTTTATTTTATTATTTCCCTTCTACGTGACTTTACCGAAAGAACCAAGAAAACAAATGTAACGATACTAGCTTCACAAAGTCGAAGGGTTCTCCCCACGTGTTCGCCCACCGATGTCAACGCGTGCCTGGAATCCTCTCGTGGAGTTGTTGCAAATTCTCAGAAGTGTTAACATGTTTTTGAAGCATCCTGTAATATAAAAAATACATGTACAGTATTAATGTAATAATAATATTCAAATAAATGTATTAATGTAATATTAAAATATGTGTATTAACATTATAATAATATAAAAATGCACGTATTTATATTATAATACAAAAATAGGTGTATTGACATTATAATACTATGAAAATGAATGTATTAATATTATAATAATGTAAAAATAAATTTCCTTTAACATTATGAATCTGCTTCTCTGTGCCTCTTCCGCTTTCAGAGACGGGCAGCGAAGACTTTGACAAGTTTCTGGGTCTCCTGGGGGAGCAGATTTCTCTCAAGGGCTGGGTGGGCTACCGTGGCGGCCTGGACACCAAGAGTACGTTGGCACGCGTAGGGGTAGGGGTAGTAGTAGTAGTAGGGGTAGTAGTAGTAGGGGTAGGAGTAGGGGTAGGAGTAGGGGTAGTAGTAGTAGTAGGGGTAGTAGTAGTAGGGGTGTAGTAGTAGGGGTAGGAGTAGGGGTAGTAGTAGTAGTAGGGGTAGTAGTAGTAGGGGTGTAGTAGTAGGGGTAGGAGTAGGGGTAGTAGTAGTAGTAGGGGTGTAGTAGTAGGGGTAGGAGTAGGGGTAGTAGTAGTAGTAGTAGGGGTAGGAGTAGGGGTAGGAGTAGGGCTAGTAGTAGTAGGGGTGTAGTGGTAGGGGTAGTAGTAGTAGGGGTGTAGTAGTAGGGGTAGTAGTAGTAGGGGTAGGAGTAGGGGTAGTAGTAGTAGGGGTAGGAGTAGGGGTAGTAGTAGTAGGGGTGTAGTGGTAGGGGTAGTAGTAGTAGGGGTAGTAGGAGTAGTAGTAGTATTAGTAGGGGTGTAGTGGTAGGGGTAGTAGTACTAGGGGTAGTAGTAGTAGGGGTAGGAGTAGGGGTAGTAGTAGTAGGGGTGTAGTGGTAGGGGTAGTAGTAGTAGGGGTGTAGTAGTAGGGGTAGTAGGAGTAGTAGTAGTATTAGTAGGGGTGTAGTGGTAGGGGTAGTAGTACTAGGGGTAGTAGTAGTAGGGGTAGTAGTAGGGGTAGTAGTAGGGGTGTAGTAGTAGGGGTAGGGGTGGAGTAATAGGGGTGTATGTGTGTAGTAGTAATAGGGGTGTAGGTGTGTAGTAGTAGGGGTAGGAGTAGGGGTAGTAGTAGGGGTACTAGTAGTAGGGGTAGTAGGGGTAGTAGTAGGGGTAGTAGTATTTGTAGTAGTAGTAGGGGTGGAGTAATATGGGTGTAGTAGTAGGGGTGGTAGTAGTTGTAGTAGTAGGTGTGTAGTACTAATAGGGGTGTAGGTGTGTAGTAGTAGGGGTATAGGGGTAGGGGTAGTAGTAGGGGTGTAGAAGTAGGGTAGTAGTAGTAGGGGTGGAGTAATAAGGGTGTAGGTGTGTAGTAGTAATAGGGGTGTATGTGTGTAGTAGTAGGGGTAGGAGTAGGGGTAGGAGTAGGGGTAGTAGTAGGGGTAGTAGTAGTTGTAGTAGTAGGGGTGTAGTAGTAGGGGTAGTAGTAGTAGGGGTGGAGTAACAGGGGTGTAGGGGTGTAGTAGTAGGGGTATTAGTAGGGGTGTAGTAGTTGTGTAGTAATAGGGGTAGTAGTAGGGGTAGTAGTAGTGGTGGCAGTAGTCATAGGGGTAGTAATAGGGGTAGTAATAGGGGTAGTTGTAATAGAGGTGTAGTAATAGGGCTAGTTGTAATAGGGGTAGTAGTAGGGGTAGTAGTAGTGGTATAGTAGTTGTAGTGGTGTAGTAATAGGGGTAGTAGTAATATAATAGGGGTAGTAGTAGTGGTATAGTAGTAGTATTGGTGTAGTAGTAGTAGGGGTATAGTAGTAGTAGTGGTATAGTAGTTGTAGTGGTATAGTAGTTGTAGTGGTATAGTAGTTGTAGTGGTATAGTAGTTGTAGTGGTATAGTAGTTGTAGTGGTATAGTAGTAGTAGTGGTATAGTAGTTGTAGTGGTATAGTAGTTGTAGTGGTATAGTAGTTGTAGTGGTATAGTTGTTGTAGTGGTATAGTAGTTGTAGTGGTATAGTAGTTGTAGTGGTATAGTAGTAGTAGTGGTATAGTAGTTGTAGTGGTATAGTAGTTGTAGTGGTATAGTAGTTGTAGTGGTATAGTAGTTGTAGTGGTATAGTAGTTGTAGTGGTATAGTAGTTGTAGTGGTATAGTAGTTGTAGTGGTATAGTAGTTGTAGTGGTATAGTAGTAGTAGTGGTGTAGTAGTAGTAGTGGTATAGTAGTTGTAGTGGTATAGTAGTAGTAGTGTTTGTGTTGTGCGTGGCGCGTTCAACGCCACGTGACACAGCGCGTGGATTTTTTTATTGTTTGGTTATTTGTTGCTGGTGACTTTGTTTCGTATCGAAATCGGCTCCAGTGCTATTTTCTCGCTCTCTCTTTCTCTCTCTCTCTCACTCTCTCGCTCGCTCTCTCTCTTCCGCATCGTCGTCGTTCAATCAGACGACACAACGGGAACACACGCGGTCTACACCATCTACCAGGGACACGAGATCATGTTCCACGTGTCCACCATGCTCCCGTACTCCAAGGACAACCGACAGCAGGTACACACACTGACACAGCTGCTACACACACTGACACAGCTACACACACTGACATAGCTACTACACACACTGACACAGCTACTACACACACTGACACAGCTGCTACACACACTGACACAGCTGCTACACACACTGACACAGCTACTACACACACTGACACAGCTGCTACACACACTGACATAGCTACTACACACACTGACACAGCTACTACACACACTGGCACAGCTGCTACACACACTTACACAGCTGCTACACACACTGACACAGCAACTACACACACTGACACAGCTGCTACACACACTGACACAGCTGCTACACACACTGACACAGCTACACACACCGACACAGCTGCTACACACACTGACACAGCTGCTACACACACTGACACAGCTGCTACACACACTGACACAGCTACTACACACACTGACACAGCTACTACACACACTGACACAGCTGCTACACACACTGACACAGCTACTACACACACTGACACAGCAGGTACACACACTGACACAGCTACACACACTGACACAGCAGGTACACACACTGACACAGCTACTACACACACTGACACAGCTACTACACACACTGACACAGCTACTACACACACTGACACAGCTACTACACACACTGACACAGCAGCTACACACACTGACACAGCTACACACACTGACACAGCAGGTACACACACTGACACAGCTACTACACACACTGACACAGCTGCTACACACACTGACACAGCTACACACACTGATACAGCAGGTACACACACTGACACAGCTACTACACACACTGACACAGCTGCTACACACACTGACACATCTATTACACACACTGACACAGCTGCTACACACACTGACACAGCTACTACACACACTGACACAGCAGGTACACACACTGACACAGCTACTACACACACTGACACAGCTGCTACACACACTGACACAGCTGCTACACACACTGACACAGCTGCTACACACACTGACACAGCTGCTACACACACTGACACAGCAGCTACACACACTGACACAGCTGCTACACACACTGATACAGCTGCTACACACACTGACACAGCTGCTACACACACTGACACAGCTACACACACTGACACAGCAGCTACCCACACTGACACAGCTGCTACACACACTGACACAGCTGCTACACACACTGACACAGCTGCTACACACACCGACACAGCTACTACACACACTGACACAGCTACTACACACACCGACACAGCTACTACACACACTGACACAGCTGCTACACACACTGACACAGCAGGTACACACACTGACACAGCTACTACACACACTGACACAGCTACTACACACACTGACACAGCTGCTACACACACTGACACAGCTGCTACACACACCGACACAGCAGGTACACACACTGACACAGCTACTACACACACTGACACAGCTGCTACACACACTGACACAGCTGCTACACACACTGACACAGCTACACACACTGACACAGCAGCTACCCACACTGACACAGCTGCTACACACACTGACACAGCTGCTACACACACTGACACAGCTGCTACACACACCGACACAGCTACTACACACACTGACACGGCTACTACACACACCGACACAGCTACTACACACACTGACACAGCTGCTACACACACTGACACAGCTGCTACACACACTGACACAGCTGCTACACACACCGACACAGCAGGTACACACACTGACACAGCTACTACACACACTGACACAGCTGCTACACACACTGACACAGCTGCTACACACACTGACACAGCTACACACACTGACACAGCTACTACACACACTGACACAGCTGCTACACACACTGACACAGCTGCTACACACTGACACAGCTACTACACACACTGACACAGCTACTACACACACTGACACAGCTACTACACACACTGACACAGCTACTACACACACTGACACAGCTGCTACACACACTGACACAGCTGCTACACACACTGACACAGCTACTACACACACTGACACAGCTACACACACACTGACACAGCTACTACACACACTGACACAGCTACTACACACACTGACACAGCTACACACACACTGACACAGCTACTACACACACTGACACAGCTACACACACACTGACACAGCTACTACACACACTGACACAGCTACTACACACTGACACAGTGTATAGTGTAGTGTATAGTAGTATATAGTAGTGTATAGTGTAGTGTATAGTGTAGTGTATAGTAGTGTAGTGTATAGTGTAGTAGTGTATAGTGTAGTGTATAGTGTAGTGTATAGTAGTTTAGTGTATAGTGTATAGTAGTGTATAGTAGTGTAGTGTATAGTGTAGTGTATAGTAGTGTATAGTAGTGTATAGTGTAGTGTATAGTGTATAGTAGTGTATAGTGTAGTGTATAGCGTAGTGTATAGTGTAGTGTATAGTGTAGTGTATAGTGTAGTGTTTAGTAGTGTATAGTGTAGTGTTTAGTAGTGTATAGTGTAGTGTATAGTGTAGTGTATATTGTAGTGTATAGTGTAGTGTATAGTAGTGTATAGTGTAGTGTATAGTGTAGTGTATATTGTAGTGTATAGTGTAGTGTATAGTGTAGTGTATAGTGTAGTGTGTAGTGTATAGTGTATAGTGTAGTGTGTAGTGTAGTGTGTAGTGTAGTAGTGTATAGTGTAGTGTATAGTAGTGTATCGTATAGTAGTGTATAGTGTAGTGTATAGTGTAGTGTATAATAGTGTATAGTGTAGTGTATAGTAGTGTAGTGTATAGTAGTGTATAGTGTAGTGTATAGTGTATAGTGTAGTGTATAGTGTAGTGTATAGTAGTGTATAGTGTAGTGTTTAGTAGTGTATAGTGTAGTGTATAGTAGTGTATAGTGTAGTGTATAGTAGTGTATAGTAGTGTATAGTGTAGTGTATAGTAGTGTAGTGTATAGTGTAGTAGTGTATAGTGTAGTGTATAGTAGTGTATCGTATAGTAGTGTATAGTGTAGTGTATAGTGTAGTGTATAGTGTAGTGTATAATAGTGTATAGTGTAGTGTATAGTAGTGTAGTGTATAGTGTAGTGTATAGTAGTGTATAGTGTAGTGTATAGTGTATAGTGTAGTGTATAGTGTAGTGTTTAGTAGTGTATAGTGTAGTGTATAGTAGTGTATAGTGTAGTGTATAGTAGTGTATAGTAGTGTAGTGTATAGTGTAGTGCATAGTAGTGTATAGTGTAGTGTATAGTGTAGTGTATAGTAGTGTATAGTGTAGTGTATAGTGTAGTGTATAGTGTAGTGTATAGTGTAGTGTATAGTGTAGTGCATAGTAGTGTAGTGTATAGTATGTAGTGTAGTGGAGCGATTAGTCGTTAACAGGGCTAAGTCGCGGAGTGTCCCTGCTGCATCACAGCTCTCGAGCGAGCTGTGACGCCGACGTCCCCACGACGTTCCCACGACGTCCACGTGCTCCCGTCATCACCCCCCCTACCCCGCCCACCAGGTGGAGCGCAAGCGGCACATCGGCAACGACATCGTCACCATCGTGTTCCAGGAGGGCGAGGAGTCGTGTGTGTCCTTCAAGCCCTCCATGATCCGCTCGCATTTCACGCGTATCCACTCCCCTGCCGTCACGCGCACGCACACGCACACACATACACACACGTGCACACACGGTCACACACGTGCACACGCACACACGCACACACGCACACACACACACGCGCACACACACACGCACACACACACACGCACACGCACACACACGTGCACACGTACATACGCGTGTGTACACGTACACACACGTGTACACGTACACGCGCGTATCCACTCCCCGCCGGCACGCGCACACACACACGCGTGCACACACACATGCACACAGACACACACACGCACACACGCACACACACGCACACGCATGCACACACGCACACGCGCACACACACACGCACACACGCACACACACACATACGCACACACACACACGCACACACACACGCACACACACATACGCACACACGCACACGCATACACACACGCATACACACACGCACACACACACGCACACACACGCACACACACACACGCACATGCGCGCACGCGCGCACACACATACGCACACACGCACACACGCGCACACGCGCACACACACGCATGCACACGTACACACATGCACACCCGTGTATTATCCCCTCCGTCACGCGCACACACACACATATACACGCACACGCACACACACACACACGCACACATGTACACACACACACACGCACACACGCACACACGCACGCACACACACACACGCACACACGCGCACACACACGCACACACACGTACACACGCGTGTGCGGACGTACACACACGCACACACACACACGCACAAACACACACGCACACACACACGTACTCACACACGCACACACACGTGTATTTGTCCTTAACGTTCGCGACGGCCAGACATCTTTGCCTTGGTGAGGTTCAACAGAGCCACGGACAGCTACAGGTACCACCACCGCACGTGTGCTGCGTGTCTGTGCGTCACCTGTGCACGTGCACTCCGTGAGTGGGCGTGAGTGAGTGTGAGTTAGCGTGCGTGCATGAGTGTGCGTGAGTGAGTGGGTGAATGAGTGTGAGTGACTGAGTGAGTGTGAGTGACTGAGTGAGTGTGTGTAAGCGTGTAAGCGTGTGAGTGAGTGAGTGTGCGTGCGTAAGTGTGTGTGTGAGTGACTGAGTGTGTCTGTGTAAGTGAGTGTGTGTGTGACTCGCCCCGCGTGTTCCCGCTGCAAGGCTTCGTATCTTCTCCGAGGAGAGCGAGAGTGAGTGAGTGTGAGTGAGTGTGTGACTGAGTGAGTGTGTGCGTGAGTGAGTGAGCGTGAGTGAGTGAGAGTGAGCGTGTGTGAGTGAGTGTGTGACTGAGTGAGTGTGACTGAGTGTGTGTGAGTGAGCGTGAGTGAGTGTGAGTGAGTGTGTGACTGAGTGAGTGTGTGCGTCAGTGAGTGAGCGTGAGTGAGAGAGCGAGAGTGAGTGAGTGTGAGTGAGTGTGTGACTGAGTGAGTGTGACTGAGTGTGTGTGAGTGAGCGTGAGTGATTGAGTGAGTGTTAGTGAGTGTGAGTGACTGTGAGTGTGCGTGCGTGACTGAGTGAGTGAGTGAGTGACTGACTGAGTGAGTGACTGAGTGAGTGAGTGACTGAGTGAGTGAGTGACTGACTGAGTGAGTGACTGAGTGACTGAGTGACTGTGTGTGAGTGAGTGTGAGTGACTGAGTGTGTGTGTGACTCGCCCTATACGCAGGCTGCGCGTCTTCTCCGAGGAGAGCGTGCGTGAGTGAGAGTGTGTGAGTGTGTGTGTGAGTGACTGAGTGACTGAGTAAGTGTGTGTGTGAGTGACTGAGTGACTGAGTAAGTGTGTGTGTGAGTGACTGAGTGACTGAGTGAGTGTGTGTGTGAGTGACTGAGTGACTGAGTAAGTGTGTGTGTGACTGAGTGACTGAGTGAGTGTGTGTGTGAGTGACTGAGTGACTGAGTGAGTGTGTGTGTGAGTGACTGAGTGACTGAGTAAGTGTGTGTGTGTGACTGAGTGACTGAGTAAGTGTGTGTGTGAGTGACTGAGTGACTGAGTGAGTGTGTGTGTGACTGAGTGACTGAGTAAGTGTGTGTGTGAGTGACTGAGTGACTGAGTAAGTGTGTGTGTGACTGAGTGACTGAGTAAGTGTGTGTGTGAGTGACTGAGTGACTGAGTGAGTGAGTGTGTGTGTGACTGAGTGACTGAGTAAGTGTGTGTGAGTGACTGAGTGACTGAGTGAGTGTGTGTGTGAGTGACTGAGTGACTGAGTGAGTGAGTGACTGAGTGACTGAGTAAGTGTGTGTGACTCTCCCACTGCAGACTGCGCATCTTCTCCGAGCAGAGCGTGAGTGTTAGTGTGTGAGTGACTGAGTGAGTGAGTGAGTGACTGAGTGAGTGTGTGAGTGTGAGTGTAAGTGAGTGTGTGTGTGAGTGAGTGAGTGACTGAGTGAGTGACTCACCCTATACGCAGGCTACGCATCTTCTCCGAGGAGAGCGTGAGTGAGTGAGTGTTAGTGAGTGACTGAGTGACTGAGTAAGTGTGTGTGTGACTGAGTGACTGAGTAAGTGTGTGTGTGAGTGACTGAGTGAGTGTGTGTGTGAGTGACTGAGTGACTGAGTAAGTGTGTGTGTGAGTGACTGAGTGGCTGAGTGAGTGAGTGAGTGACTGAGTGACTGAGTGAGTGTTGTGTGTGTGAGTGACTGAGTGACTGAGTAGGTGTGTGTGACTCTCCCACTGCAGACTACGCATCTTCTCCGAGGAGAGCGTGAGTGTTAGTGTGTGAGTGACTGAGTGAGTGACTGAGTAGTGTGTGAGTGTGAGTGTAAGTGAGTGTGTGAGTGAGTGAGTGACTGAGTGAGTGACTGAGTAAGTGTGTGTGTGACTCTCCCACTGCAGACTACGCATCTTCTCCGAGGAGAGCGTGCCGCTGTTTGGGCCCCCGCTGCCCACTCCGCCGGTGTTCACCGACCACCACGAGTTCCGGGACTTCCTCCTCGTCAAGCGTGAGTCGATCCCCCATGCCCCCTGCCCCAACAGGCTGTTAAGGCTACACGGGAGATCTTTGTCTCTGTGCGTGCGTGTTCACGTGCGTGTGCGGCAGAGGTCGCAACCGGGTACCCGATACCCGTACCCTACCCGATACCCGGCTACCCGTACCCGGCCGGGTACGGGTACGGGTAGCCGTTTGCGACCCTGGTGCGGCCGGGTACGGGTACGGGTAGACCGTGAGTCACTGGTGAGTCACCGTTTGTCACTCATTTCGGGTAGGGTACGGGTACGGGTAGGGAACGGGTACCCTACCCGACTGGGTACGGTACCCATTTGCGACCCTGGTGCGGCCGGGTACGGGTAAGGAATCAAAACCCGTTTGCGCCCTCTGGTGTGCGTGTGTGCACGTGCGCGTGTGTGTCTGTGTGCGTGCGTGTGGGGAGCGGTGGTGCAGCGGTTAACGCGCTGCGCTATGAACCTGGCGACCCGGGTTCGATTCCCGCTCACGGCCAACACCCACAGTGGCGATCATCTGAACCGGTACCGGGCCTCCCCTAGGTCGACTCAGCCTCAAATGAGTACCTGGTACGGTGTGTAAACATCGCAACTGGGGGAGACAAAGGCGGTCGGGCGTGGTGCTGGCCATCCACCCCCTCGTGTACCGTTCCGGCCTTCATAGGTGCTACTCGCTAACAGCACTTGCCCCTACAGTCTGTTAAGGCTATACGGGGGATTTTTGTCTTTTGTGTGCGCATGCGTGTGTACATGTGTGTGTGTGTGTGCGTGTGTGCGTGTGCGTGTGCCCGACTTTCGCCGCAGTGATCAACGGAGAGAAAGCCACTCTGGAAACGCCGACATTTGCGCAGAAACGCCAGCGGACGCTGGACATGCTGATACGCTCCATGTACCAGGACTACACGCCCGACCTCTACAAGGTGAGAGCGAGAGTCAAGCCGAGGAGGAGGAGGCCTCAACCCCCTACCGGGACATGTGAAGAGCTCTACGGCTCATCGGATTCCTCCCGCAGCGTCAAATAAATGTTCCGATTCTGGCTCGGCACGTGGATGAGCGGAGACGCGCGTGGGTGACGCGGTGAACGAGCGGAGGTAGGTGTGGGTGACGCGGTGAGCGAGCGGAGGCAGGCGTGGGTGACGCGGTGAGCGAGCGGAGACAGGCGTGGGTGACACAGTGAGCGAGCGGAGACAGGCGTGGGTGACGCGGTGAGCGAGCGGAGGCAGGTGTGGGTGACGCAGTGAGCGAGCGGAGACAGGCGTGGGTGACACAGTGAGCGAGCGGAGACAGGCGTGGGTGACACAGTGAGCGAGCGGAGACAGGCGTGGGTGACGCAGTGAGCGAGCAGAGGCAGGTGTGGGTGACGCAGTGAGCGAGCGGAGGCAGGCGTGGGTGACACGGTGAGCGAGCGGAGGCAGGTGTGGGTGACGCAGTGAGCGAGCGGAGACAGGCGTGGTTGACACAGTGAGCGAGCGGAGACAGGCGTGGGTGACGCAGTGAGCGAGCAGAGGCAGGTGTGGGTGACGCAGTGAGCGAGCGGAGACAGGCGTGGGTGACGCAGTGAGCGAGCGGAGACAGGCGTGGGTGACGCAGTGAGCGAGCAGAGGCAGGTGTGGGTGACACAGTGAGCGAGCGGAGGCAGGCGTGGGTGACACGGTGAGCGAGCGGAGGCAGGTGTGGGTGACGCAGTGAGCGAGCGGAGACAGGCGTGGTTGACACAGTGAGCGAGCGGAGACAGGCGTGGGTGACGCGGTGAGCGAGTGGAGGCACGCGTGGGTGACGCTGTGAACGAGTGGAGGCACGCGTGGGTGACGCTGTGAACGAGCGGAGGCACGCGTGGGTGACGCTGTGAACGAGCGGAGGCACGCGTGGGTGACGCTGTGACGAAGCGTCACCCACCACGCCTACCCACCGAGGTCACGCACGCGCGTGGCGAACGATTCCATTAGCTCCGTGGCCTGGCCCTGCTTGGCCCTGACCGTTAGCTCCCGGCTTGGCTCGGTAACCAGCCCTGTGGTGGGACACAAAACAACAATAAATATAATTATGTATAAATATAATTACGTATAAATATAATTATACACAAATATATATTATTTAATATATACACAAATAGATGAGTCGATTGAAAAAGCCCAGAATGCCGTGGGGCATGGGCCGGTGGGAAAATGTCGGCGCGGCGAAATCGAAGACACCGTCGCCTCTCACCACTCACCCACCACTCACCCACCACTCACTCACCACTCACTCACCACTCACCCTCACCACTCACCCTCACCACTCACCCTCACCACTCACTCACCACTCACCCTCACCACTCACCCTCACCACTCACCCTCACCACTCACCCACCACTCACTCACCACTCACTCACCACTCACCCTCACCACTCACTCACCACTCACCCTCACCACTCACCCACCACTCACCCACCACTCACTCACCACTCACCCTCACCACTCACTCACCACTCAACCTCACCACTCACTCACCACTCACTCACTCACCACTCACCCTCACCACTCACCCTCACCACTCACCCTCACCACTCACCCTCACCACTCACCCACCACTCACCCTCACCACTCACCCTCACCACTCACCCTCACCACTCACCCTCACCACTCACTCACCACTCACCCTCACCACTCACCCTCACCACTCACCCTCACCACTCACTCACCACTCACCCTCACCACTCACTCACCACTCACCCTCACCACTCACTCACCCTCACCACTCACCCACCACTCACCCTCACCACTCACCCTCACCACTCACCCTCACCACTCACCCACCACTCACCCACCACTCACCCTCACCACTCACCCACCACTCACTCACCACTCACCCTCACCACTCACCCACCACTCACTCACCACTCACCCACCACTCACCCTCACCACTCACCCTCACCACTCACCCTCACCACTCACCCTCACCACTCACCCACTACTCACTCACCACTCACTCACCACTCACCCACCACTCACTCACCACTCACACTCACCACTCACCCTCACCACTCACTCACCACTCACCCACCACTCACTCACCACTCACCCACCACTCACCCTCACCACTCACCCTCACCACTCACCCTCACCACTCACCCACCACTCACCCTCACCACTCACTCACCACTCACCCTCACCACTCACCCTCACCACTCACTCACCACTCACACTCACCACTCACCCTCACCACTCACTCACCACTCACTCACCACTCACCCTCACCACTCACCCTCACCACTCACCCACCACTCACTCTCACCACTCACCCTCACCACTCACCCTCACCACTCACCCTCACCACTCACACTCACCACTCACCCTCACCACTCACTCACCCTCACCACTCACTCACCACTCACCCTCACCACTCACTCACCACTCACACTCACCACTCACCCTCACCACTCACTCACCACTCACTCACCACTCACTCACCACTCACACTCACCACTCACCCTCACCACTCACCCTCACCACTCACCCTCACCACTCACCCTCACCACTCACCCTCACCACTCACTCACCACTCACCCTCACCACTCACTCACCACTCGCCTCACCACTCACCCTCACCACTCACCCTCACCACTCACCCTCACCACTCACACTCACCACTCACTCACCACTCACCCTCACCACTCACACTCACCACTCACTCACCACTCACTCACCACTCACCCTCACCACTCACACTCACCACTCACTCACCACTCACTCACCACTCACCCTCACCACTCACCCTCACCACTCACCCTCACCACTCACTCACCACTCACCCTCACCACTCACTCACCACTCACCCTCACCACTCACCACTCACTCACCACTCACCCTCACCACTCACTCACCACTCACCCTCACCACTCACTCACCACTCACCCACCACTCACCACTCACTCACCACTCACCCTCACCACTCACACTCACCACTCACCCTCACCACTCACTCACCACTCACCCTCACCACTCACTCACTACTCACCCTCACCACTCACTCACCCTCACCACTCACTCACCCTCACCACTCACCCTCACCACTCACTCACCACTCACTCACCCTCACCACTCACTCACCACTCACCCTCACCACTCACTCACCACTCACCCTCACCACTCACCCTCACCACTCACACTCACCACTCACCACTCACTCACCACTCACCTCACCACTCACCTTCACCAATCACTCACCACTCACCCTCACCACTCACACTCACCACTCACCACCCTCACCACTCACTCACCACTCACTCACCCTCACCACTCACTCACTCCTCACCCTCACCACTCACATCACCCTCACCACTCACTCACCCTCACCACTCACTCACCACTCACCCTCACCACTCACTCACCCTCACCACTCACTCACCACTCACCCTCACCACTCACTCACCACTCACCCTCACCACTCACTCACCACTCACCCTCACCACTCACCCTCACCACTCACTCACCCTCACCACTCACTCACCACTCATCACCACTCACCCTCACCACTCCCCTCACCACTCACTCACCTCACCACTCACTCACCACTCACTCCCACTCACTCACCACTCACCCTCACCACTCACCCTCACCACTCACTCACCACTCACTCACCCTCACCACTCACTCACCACTCACCCTCACCACTCACTCACCCTCACCACTCACTCACCACTCACCCTCACCACTCACTCACCCTCACCACTCACTCACACTCACCCTCACCACTCACCCTCACCACTCACCCTCACCACTCAATCACCACTCACCCTCACCACTCACTCCCTCTCTCCAGAACATGCTGAACCGCCGCTCTCTGAGTGACGTGCTGCCCGAGTCGCCGCGCTCGGCGAGGAAGAAGGAGGAAGCACGCCGGGCGGAGTTCGTCCGCGTTGGGCAGGTGGGCAACCCCCCCACCACCACCCCCCCACCACCCCCACTACCCCCCCCCCCCCACCATCACCACCCCCCCCCCCACCAACCCCCCCCCACCACCACCCCCACCACCCCCCCACCACCACCCCCCCCACCACCATCCCCCTCCACCTCACCACCCCCCACCACCACCACCCAACCACCCCCCCCACCACCCCCTTCACCACCACCCCACCACCCCCCCCCACCACCCCACCACCACCCCCCCACCACCACCCCCTACCAACCCCCCCCCACCACCCCCCCACCACCCCCCCCCACCACACCCCCCACCACACCCCCCACCACACCCCCCACCCGGCCCCCACACGACTCACCACGTGGGGGGGCTGCCCCCCCCCGTACGCTCGAGGAACTCCGGCCCCGCGTCCGACTTCGCAGTCGCGGCCGTCGGGCAAATGCTTGTTGATAATTGATAATTGGTTTCGATTTAAAGCTTTCGTGACGTAGAAGGGAAATAATAAAATAAAAAAAATAAACATAATATTATATTACTTTATTACGTTTTATATTGTCATTATTTTATTATTTCCTTTCTACGTGACATTACCGAAAGAACCAAGAAGATGATAATTGGTTTTTTACCCTTCTATCTGGCAACAAAACTGACACCTTTTTACAAGGAGTCATGTTTGCATAGACCACAATACCTGCGGTCGTAATGCAAACAAAAAACACAACTCTGATAATGTGTGCACTGTCCTTGAAGTTGATTGGTCCACACCCGAGACAGCTTTCCTTAGAGCCTAGTCTCACATGGGTTGGACCAAATGACGCCAAAAGGCGCACAACTCAAAGACAATGCACCATCAGAGTATGAGAGCTCGAGGTGCAATTGCTTGTTGTTGATGGTTGTTGTTTGATGGTTGTTGTTGTTGTTTGGTTGTTGTGTAGGCGCTAAAGCTGAAGACGATCGTGCGCGGGGACGCCCCGACGAGTCTGGCGACGACAGGGCTGTGCAGGAAGGAGGTGAGCGAGACCCGTCGCAGTCAAAGGCTCTAATCCCACTCCCCTCGAGTTGAGCAGCACGTGGAGATGGAATGTGACAATCGTTGCTGACGCTGATTGGTCCACACCAGAGACGGCGGCCATCTTCTTTAGTGGACCAATCAGTCTCAGCGACAATGCCACTCACTCACGCTCACTCACGCACGCACGCTCACTCACTCACGCTCACTCACTCACGCTCGCACGCACACTCACTCACTCACTCACGCTCACTCACTCACGCTCACTTACGCTCACGAGCACTCACTCACACTCACTCACTCACGCTCACTCACTCACTCAGGCTCACTCACTCACTCACTCACGCACGCTCACTCAATCACGCTCACTCACGCTCACTCACTCACGCTCACTCACTCCGCTCACATCGCGATCACTCACTCATGCTCACTCACTCACTCATGCACGCTCACTCAGTCACGCTCACTCACGCTCACTCACTCACTCAATCACGCACGCTCACTCACTCACGCTCACTCACTCACGCTCACTCACTCACTCATGCACGCACGCTCACTCACTCACGCTCACTCACTCACTCACACTCACTCCCTCACTCACACTCACTCACGCTCACTCACGCTCACTCACTCACGCTCACTCACTCACGCTCACTCGCGATCACTCACTCATGCTTACTCACTCACTCATGCACGCTCACTCAGTCACGCTCACTCACGCTCACTCGCGATCACTCACTCACGCTCACTCACTCAATCACGCACGCTCACTCACTCACGCTCACTCACTCACGCTCACTCACTCACTCATGCACGCACGCTCACTCACTCACGCTCACTCACTCACTCACACTCACTCACTCACACTCACTCACTCACGCTCACTCACTCACTCACACTCACTCATGCTCACTCACTCACGCTCACATCACTCATTCACGCTCACATCACTCTCACTCACACACGCTCACTTACACACACTCACTCACGCTCACGTCACTCCCTCACTCACACTCACTCACACTCACTCCCTCACTCACACACTCATGCTCCTCACTCACTCACACTCACTCACTCCCTCACTCACTTACTCACTCATGCTCACTCACGCTCACTTACACACACTCACGCTCGCTCACTCACTCCCTCACTCACACTCACACTCACTCACATCCCTCACTCACTTACTCACTCATGCTCACTCACTCACGCTCACTCACTCACTCACTCACGCTCACTCACGCTCACTCACTCACGCTCACTCACTCACTCACGCTCACTCACTCACGCTCACTCACACTCACTCACGCTCACTCACTCACGCTCACTCATTCACTCACGCTCACTCACGCTCACTCACTCATGCTCACTCACACTCACTCACGCTCACTCACTCACGCTCACTCACTCACTCACTCACAGCTCACTCACTCACTCACGCTCAACTCACTCACACTCACTCACAGGTCTGTCGGAAAGACAGCGTCTGAATTCTTCACCTGAGGACGGCTGCTTGCGTTGTGGCCGAAACGTCGTGAGAATTTTATCTTATTATGTTTTATTTTTATTATTTTATTATTTCCCTTCTACGTGACTTTACCGAAAGAACCAAGAAGATGAAACAGATGCCTTTATCGAAGAATCGATATTCTGCATTTAAAACCGACTCGCACAGTGGAAGGGTACCTGACTGGGGGTCCCCGCCCCCCCCCCCCCCCCGATCGGGGACCCCGAATCCCGGGGGGCCACAGCTCCCCTGCTAGACAGGGGAGGATGTACACGGGGGGGGGGGGCGGGGGGCACGGGTGTCGCTGTGGACGCTAACCGCTGCACCACCGCTCCCTACACCTATATATAGACAACAACAAACCCCCGTTGACAACTTAGTAGCGGTGACGTCAACACGGCGCTTGTGCCAGGCTAGGTGCACTTCAAGGCCACGTGAAGTGTCGAACGCCCGCCGGCAGGAGGTCACGGGGCAGACCCAGCAGGTGCCGTGGGTCGACTGACCGAGATGACCGGCAGCTGTGTCAGTGTGTGTAGTAGCTGTGTCAGTGTGTGTACCTGCTGTGTCAGTGTGTGTAGTAGCTGTGTCAGTGTGTGTACCTGCTGTGTCAGTGTGTGTAGTAGCTGTGTCAGTGTGTGTAGCAGCTGTGTCAGTGTGTAGCAGCTGTGTCAGTGTGTGTAGTAGCTGTGTCAGTGTGTGTAGCAGCTGTGTCAGTGTGTGTAGTAGCTGTGTCAGTGTGTGTAGCAGCTGTGTCAGTGTGTATAGTAGCTGTGTCAGTGTGTGTAGCAGCTGTGTCAGTGTGTGTAGCAGCTGTGTCAGTGTGTGTACCTGTTGTCGGTTGTCCTTGGAGTACGGGAGCATGGTGGACACGTGGAACATGATCTCGTGCCCCTGGTAGATGGACACGGGTGTCGCTGTGACGCGGCACCTGCAGGCGTCTTGCTCGCGATGCCGCTGACGGACCGGCCCTCCACCCCCACAGAGGGTAGCCCATCTATGGGGGGGGCAGTGGCGTCACCTAACCTTGACCTAACCTTGACCTAACCTTGACCTAACCTTGACCTAACCTCGACCTAACCTTGACCTAACCTCGACCTAACCTCGACCTACGGCCTCAACGTTGCGTTGGGGGGCTCCACCGTTGCCTGGGTAACCCGTCACGCGCCTCGCGAAAAACGAACGAAAATGAACGAGAATCACCCGAATGTGTTACCCGTGGCCTGACGCGTCTTTCTGCGAACGTCTCTCGGGTGACAACGTTGGAAAGCTCCCTGAGCACTTTCTCCGCGCGTGCATCGGGTCTCCTTCTTCGCAGACGGAGCGGGAAGGCGGCCGGGTGATGGTCGTGCGTTATGCCGGACGAACGGCAGAGGTCGCAAACGGGTTTTGATTCCTTACCCGTACCCGGCCGCACCAGGATCGCAAACGGGTACCCGTACCCGTACCCTACCCAATACCCGGCTACCCGTACCCGGCCGGGTATCAGGTAGGGTACGGGTAAGGGTGCCCGATCGCGACCTCTGGGATGAAGCCGTGTTGCAGGCGCGGGTGGGTTGATTCTAGGAACTTGAATTGTGAGAAGAGACAAGACGTTGGGAAATGAGTGACAAACGGTGACTCACCAGTGACTCACGGCCTACCCGTACCCGTACCCGGCCGCACCAGGGTCGCAAACGGGTACCCGTACCCGGCCGGGTACGGGTAGCCGGGTATCGGGTAGGGTACGGGTATCGGGTACCAATGTAGTGACATAAGAAGGGAGGGGCTGCTGTAGGCACTGGGTTCCCAGGGGGTCCAGACGCTTTTAAGCCTCTGGGCGCCAGGCGCTGGGTTCCCAGGCGCTTAAGCCTTTTTGGCGCCGCCAACGGGGGGGGGGGGGCTGTGTGTGCTCTGTGGGATGTCTGGTGGCGCACACGGCCCCACCCCTCGTCGGACCAGGCATAAAAGGAGAGCTCCCTGGACGATCGGGGCCCAGTTGTAACTCAAGACCCAAGACCCACGACCAGCCATCTGAAGACCCTGGGATGCTGTGAGAGCCAGCGCTGGGACTCTGGAACTCCCGACTCTACGACCTTGTGAGGGCGAGCGTAGCCAGAGTAGAGTATCTAGAGTATCTAGGCTGTGTAGCTAGGCTGTGTACCTAGGCTGTAACAGAGTATCAGGACTGTTGGAGTGTTGTATTGTAATAAAGAAGTTACATCTACAAGTGTCTCCGGAACCCGTTACACCCGGTTGCGACCTCTGACGAACGGTGGTCGGCTTGCGTTCATTGATGCGCTTGCCTCCCGCAGCCCTGGGAGCCTCAGTGCTACGGGCAGAACTTCCCGTACGAGGTGCACTGCGCCGACTCGTGGCGGAGCGGGCTGCTCGTCTCCACCGAGGCCGGCGTCCTGCTCCTCCACGGTACGCGGCGGTGGGGACGGCTCGACGCCACTGTCATCGCCACCGTCACCACCGTCACCACCGCTGCTACCATCACTACCGCCACTGCCACCGCCACCATCACCACCGCTACCATCACCACCGCTGCTACTATCGTTATCGCCACCGCTATCATCACCACCACCGCGCCACCGCCACCACCACCGCCGCTACCGTCACCACCACCGCTACCGTCACCACCGCCGCCACCGCTATTGCCACCATCACTGCCGCTACCATCACTACCGCCACCACCACCGTCACCACTGCCACCACCACCACTGCCGTTACCACCGCCACCACCGCTATTGCCACCAATGCCAACACCACCACTACCGTCACCACCGCCATCACCATCACTGCCTCCACTACCGCCACTACCACTGCCGCCACCACCGCCACCACCACCATCGCCAGAGCCAATGCGTTAACACCTTAGTCACTCGTATCAGATCACCTCAATAGGAGTTACCGCGACCCCCCGCGTCACCGCGACCCCCACGTGACTGTGACCCCACGTGACCGTGACCCCCACGTGACCGTGACCCCCTGCGTCACCGTGACCCCACGTGACCATGACCCCCGCGACCCCCACGTGACCGTGACCCCCCACGTCACCGTGACCCCGCGTCACCGTGACCCTACGTCACCGTGACCCCCACGTGACCGTGACCACCCACGTCACCGCGACCCCCACGTGACCGTGACCCCCCATGTCACCGTGACCCCGCGTCACCGTGACCCCCACGTGACTGTGACCCCCCACGTCACCGCGACCACCCCGCGTTACACGCACGGACAGACAGAGCCGACGCCGTTAGCCCCTCCTCCTCGTGGACCCGGGGGCGTCGTTGGGAGCCCCCCTAACGCCGCCGCCGCGCTCCCCTCGCCCCCCCCCAGAGGGACAGCCGCCGCTGCCCGTGCTGGACCGCAGCTTCTCGGTGCGCCAGATGAACGTGATCGAGGCGCTGGACATGCTGGTGCTGCGCAACGAAAAGGGTGAGGAGGCACCACGCCACCGACACGCCATGGACACGCTAACTGTTAACTATTTGACGAGCTCCATTGGAACCTCATTTGCCAGTAAAAAATATGATAGTTGTTTTTTTTTACCCTTCCATCTGGCAACAAAACTGACAACTTTTTTTACAAGGAGTCTCTGTCGCTGTCTCTGTTGTGCGGCTGTCCCGTTCACCTGCCCATCTCTCTGCCCGCGTGCGTGCGTGCGTGTGTGTGTGTGCGTGTACGCGTGCGTGTGCGTCACAGGCAAGGAGTCACGTGTGTTCGTGTTCCGCCTGTCGGCCGTCTGGAAGTCGGTGGAGGAGCAGTCCGCGGTGCTCGGACGCGTCGAGTGCCGTGAGCACACGCTGGAGAAGACCAAAGGTTGTCGGGGGTGGAAGAGGGCACGCACATACAAAGATAAAGATCCCCCGTGTAGCCTTAACAGACTGTAGGGGCAAGTGCTGTTAGCGAGCACCTATGAAGGCCGGAACGGCACACGAGGGGGTGGGTGGCCAGCAC